CTTAAAATTGCCCTTATAAATGAAATGATTTCTTCCATAAATTTTCTTAGTTTCTTTTCTATGGTGAATGTTATGGATATTTTTTTAAAACTGATTTTTAAATTTTGAAACAGTCTCAGATGTACAGTAAAGTTGAAAGGACAGTAGAAGGTTTTTTTTCCCTGAATATTTTAGTGTGTGCTTTCGACAGACTGGAACATTCTCTTACATGAACACTGATACATCTACCAGCTGCTCCTCAGGCCCCATTAGACTTTTGTCCATTGTCCTAATAACACCCTTAAGAGCCGAAGGACCCAGTTCAGCATGTGCTTCTCTGTTCTTGAGTCCGGACAGTTTCTCAGTACCTTTCACAGACATTCATGACCTAGGTGTTTTTGAAGTTTATGAGCAAGTTGTTTCATAGAATGTCTTTTAATTTGAGTTTGTTCTGATATATATTTGTGATTAGACCCAGGCTGTGCCCTGTTGGGAGGGATATCAAAATGATGCTCTGTTCTTGCCACATTTTAAAAGATGGGCCTGTGAGTTGCATTTGTCCCATGACTGTTGATGTCCACTTCAACCACTCTGTCACTTGATTAAGGTGGTGTCTTCCAACTTTCTCTAGTGTAAAGTTATACCATCCCCCTTCTGGGTAGTAAGGCCTTTGTGGGAAGATACTTTGATCCATGTAAATGTTCTTTTCCTCTTCAAACTTTCAATTATTTTGTTTGTTGATGTCCATCAGTTTGGACACTTGGTTTCCTAGTTTATTTGATAAGTCATACATTACTAGCACTATTCATTTTGAAGCTAAAATTGTGGATGCTCTTTCAAGGTAACTTCTCTGTCTTTTGACATATATCTCTATCTCAGTCTTTGTCTCTTTGTGTCTATCTCTGCAGAGCGACCGAGATATACACACATGTATAAACTCATGTCGGTAATTTTTTTCCTATGTTTATCTATGTTCAAAATCAACATCTACATCTATGTTATTTGATCAACTTCTCTGTGGGTAGCCAACTGCCTGCCCCACCCGGTGGACTCTCCCCTCACCCTCCCAGGCTGTGACACTTGATCTGGTCACCGCTGCCTCTACCCTTGGCCTTTGTGAAGCTGTTGATCTTACTGGGGTCCCACCTAATGGCCTTAGGGGTGAACTCTCAGGAGAGGAACTGGGAGAGGAAGAAGAGAAAGAGGAAGGGGGCCAAGGATGTTTGAATGTTATCTTGTGCTCGTCGGACACCGTGTTGACATTTTGTGGCATTTATATTGCTTCTTCAGATTATTTTTTAAGTACCTCGGTAGTCAGTTACAAATAATGGTGGTTCTTCTCCTTCCCACATTTTATGCCTCCTTTCTTCCTTATCTGATTGTATTAATACTTCCAAATGTTGTTAAACAATAACAATAACAAAGGCTTTATGGGGACACTTCTCCTGTTTTCCCACTTGCCACAATGCTGCCTTTGGGGAGAGAAAGGTAAATTTCATCAAGTGATCATCCTTAAAAGCAAGCCAGTCACACTGCATCCCTGATGGAACCCCATCACGCCTGTAGATGGACTCCCACTGATGTAAAACTGCCACGTGGTCTCTGAGGCCCTGCGTGCTCTGCCTTCTGCCTCCTTCTCTAGCTTTGTCTTGGGTCTTTTAGTAATAGTTCAGTCAAGATGTTGGATATGGAATTTTTATCAATGACTTTATCAATGAATATGATTTTTCACTTTTGATTGATTAAATGTCTTTAAAACATTTTAAAGCTCCTCATTTACAAGGAAGGGTCTGATTAAATACTACTGAGGGGTTTTCATCTAACTCAGGATAGGCAACTTAAAGAATCACACGGCATTGAATTTATTTCTCTCCAATGACACCTCATGGTAAACATCTGGGAGTTGCATGTCTGATTCTGCTCCTCCTTGGCCAAAAAATAATGTGTCTTGAGGGTCTTTGGCCTATTTTCTAGAAACGCCTTTGGGGATGGATGCCCAGTGTGACAGCTGGTCATCGTCAGAGGCCTTCCCGAGTCAGCCGGAGTATTACTAAGGCTTTCTGCTTACGCCTCATCAGTGTGGGTGGCCCCATCCCATACAGACCAACAGGTTTTGATCTGGATGCTCTAGGAAATGCAACAATGACCGTGTGTGTTTTATTTAGACTTGACTTTTATGCAGGTTCACCCTAAATGCTGCCCACTGACATCATGCCTCCTGACGAGCCTTCCTGCCCTGCTGCTCCTCTGATACCTTCTTCAGACCAGACCGCTGCTCCTTCTCCACTGCCTCTCTTGGCATAGGGACATCGACACCCATCAACTAATTGATTTCAATCTGTTGGTGCCACCCTCCTATAATTTTGGGATGGTTGTCAATATCTTTTGCCCACGGTATCTCCTCATCTTGGATTTCTCTGTCGCAGGCTGTAACTGCTAAGCATGTGCACCAGGATTCCTGTGCGGGTGATGTTCACATACATGCCATATGTTGGCGAAGGGGGAGCAGAGCATAATTTTGAGAAATGCTAGTGTAAAACCTAGGAAGAGACAGTGTTTGTGGGGGTAATGGTCACCCACCTATTTACACACTTAACAGAATGCGGGAGCCCCATCACTGGGGTATAAACGCCTAAGCGCTGATGTGAGGCCGGGCAAAGAGCCTTGGGCAGCCACTGGGTTGTCTGCTGGGCCATGTTGGAACCTGGGTCCTAAAATTAAAAGAAAGACCTCAGACATTTTTTCCTTCTGCACATCACCTCTCATGTACAAATGCCCTTTCTACAGTTCAATCACCCTTTCTCTCATATTTTTAAAATGCTTTTCGATCATTTAGGAAGAAAGCTGAATACCAGTGGTTTTCACGATTATGGTAGCTAAATAATTTCTTTTTCTTTTTCTTTCTTTGAGTTGAGATTCCTTTGCTCTCAAAGCTTGCAGCTTGTGACACAGCTGTCAGGTGGGAATGCAGGCCCAGCGCAGCTCCGTGCACCAGCTGTGCCACTTGGGGTGCAGTGAGCACTTGGCACTCCTGGCAGTGTGCCCCCTCCTCTCCGTCAGGCTCTAGGGACTCAGGTGCCACATTTGTGCCTCCTCGCGGAGCAGCACGGGATCTATGGCACCACTTAGCTCACGCCCACTTCTGCTTCAGCTTCTCATGTCTCCCTTGTTCTCTGTTTAGTTTTTCTCATCTACTTATTTTATGATTTAACTTTTGCTCTCCTGTGTGTATCTTTGTCAGCTACATGAAGTCCCTTCTGGCATAAAATTACGAGAACCTGAGGACAATGAAAGGAATAAATACCTGGCCGTGTGGGCACATGGCTGACCCCTTCCCTGATGCCTGTACCTTGTGTCCAGGGACAATCGGTGTTTCTTATCCTTGTAGCTGCCCATTGCTGTAGTGCTTCCTGAAATCATACCAAAGGCCTAAGAAGTGTCTGTTAAAGGCCTAAAGAAGTGAAATTGTAGAGTGGTCTGTGAGTCTACATGGCAAAGCAGTGGACTTGATGTTCACCAGGTGGTGCAGAAAAGGTGAGTGGGATTCCACCATGGTTATGTTAAAGTACCTCCTGTGTGCTGGCCTTGGAGTCATGGGGCATGGGCACGGGCACAGTGTGAGCAGCCGTGACCCAGCCCGGCTGGCAGTGGTCATGGGCCCTGGAGCTAGGCAGTCTGCAATGAGAAAGCAGCAAGGGCACAAATGCACAGGAGATGACGAGAGCAGATGACCCCCCACTGGACTGGTGGGGCCTCTCCTCTGGCTGAGTGTGCTCCCTGTGAGATACCGGAGACCACGGTCCGCACCCTAGGAAAGGTGAGCCACAGCAGCCCTACTTTTGGGAAGCCTCCATTTAGAAACACAGTGGGGAGGCAACTTTCTGCTCTTTCTGCAGATGCTTCCTTCCAACCTTGATGACCTGCTGTGACCCAGGGGTTGTGAATCCAGAGCTAAATGCACAGGGATGTCCCTCAAAGTTTAGCCAGGTGAGGTGCCTTCACATGCCCTGCTGAGAGAGGGCGGGCAGCAGCTCTTGACCCGGGAGGTGGTGCCTGGAATTACCATGGTTTAAAAATGGGGAAGGGGGTTCTATGCAGGCAGAAAAGCACAGAGGCAGGAGTGACTCCGTGTCCCTGCCAGCCCCAGGTGTGCCTCTCTGTTCCTACCACTCCTCAGCCACATGGTCCTGGGTCAGCATTTCACCTCCCCCGGGCCCCTTTCCTTTATTGGCAAAACCGTTTATCTCTTTTCCTGCAATAAAACCTTCACCACACCCCTCTGGGTGGACTTCATTCCCCTATTTTACCTGCGGAGATTATGTTCAGTAACTTGTGATGTCACACAGCTAGTGGGCAGTAAAGCTGGACTTTGAACCTGGATCTGCTTGGCTCAGGCTATTTTTTAAAATACCAGCTTGTTCTCTATGAAAATGAAGACAATAATACACAGTAGGCCTGTGTAAATTCAAATGAGAGGATGTCTGAGGAGATATTTTGAAAACTGTGAAGTGCAATTCAAATGCAAGTTATTAGTAAACGAGGCAGATTTGTTTGACAGCCAGAAACTTTGAGCTGCCCTGGATTAGTATTTAAGATATTTTTGCTCTTTTCTTGTGTAGTGTACGTGTTTATGTGTATGTCAGTGTGTGTGTGTGTGTGTGTGTGTGTGTGTGAGAGAGAGAGAGAGAGAGAGAAGGAGAGAGAGGTAGGAAACGAACACAAATCTTGATTAATTATTTGAAAGCTTTTACTTAAAAGGGTAGAAAGGTGGTTGCAATCTGCCAACATTTGAAAAATTTCCTTCCCTAGCATATTAGTATATTCTTAAGATCAGGCAGTCAGAATAGTGATTAAAACTAAAGATCTTTCTGAGTGTGTGTATGTGTGTATACTTGCTTCATGCTTTAACTCATGAAATAATCAGGTCCAGTTGACAAGTGGACAGCTAATTTTCTGGTCATAAATTTGCCTCTGGTAAAGGCACAAAGCCTTGGCCAAAAGCAGATGGATTGAACCCAGCTGAGGAGTGTGATCATGGTCTTGAGGTTCATTGCCCGAGGCATCTCATGGGTCTTTGAATCTGCTCTCGTAAAGGTAAGACAGACTGTTCATCTTTTGCCTTTATTGGCTAGTTTAGGACCACATATGACATCACCCCCAGCCCATTTGGGAGCTCAAATTCTGGCTGTTGTCTTCCAGACGTTTTATAAAACATACGGAAACATGCATGGCTGACAGCCTGTAGCAGGTGATTAGAGTCTGGGAAAACAAACTTGGACCTTGTTCCACCCATCCTCTCTCAGGGCCCAATGGGAAACATATTTTTGCATGATTTTGTTGGGATGTTCATTCCCATCTGAATCGCGCAGCAAGGCAAAGCTGGATGTGGGGCCGAGGAATGAGAACGACCCAGTGGTAGGCGTCCAAGTTCCTGCAGACAGGATGCGTAACCAGTCATTAACGCAGCCAGATGCGCCAGGAGCCCCCAGCCATTGGCACCCCGTGGCCGTCCCGACGTCTGGGCTTGTGGTGAGGCGCCTGAAGGCTTTTACTGAGGGTTAGAGGCCGTACCCTGAGGGACGGATCAAGCCCTGGTGAGTTTTTCTGGGACGGCTGCCATGGGCAGACGTGGGATTCCCAGTAGACAGGCCAGGGGACAGACGAGCCTGGGTTCAAACCTCAGACCTCGGCAGCTTGCATCCTGAGCCTCGGCTTCCTCATTTCTCCACATCTCCGGGGCTGTGGTGGGACTAGACCCGAGGCTGTTGCCCGCACATGAAACCACATGTGTAAAGTGCCTTTGGGGGCTGGGTGAGTGACCCGTCTTCCATGCCACTAAGGGGACCGCAGGGCTGCGCCCGCCGGGCAGAAGCGCTGGCACACGTTGGTGGCCGGCCGCGCTCCCTGCTCACAGCCCCTTCCCACCGCAGGTCACACCTGGAGAGAGGGGGCGTGAGTCTGGGCCGCGACCTGTGCGGTCCTGGGAAGGAGGCACCCCCTCCTGGGCCCCCTGCAGCCTCCCCCCCGGGGCCTGGTCCTCCTAGAGGCCTTTGTTCACCGGGCACAGCCCGACGGCCTGGCTTTGCTTCTGGCCCCTGGCAGCTCTGGCTTCCCAGCCTGGACGGCTCTGTGGTGGCCCCTGAGCGCCGAGGGGCTGTCCGCGCAGAGCCTGGAGGGGGGCCGTCGGGCGAGCAGCCTGTTCGAATGCCCCGGGGGGCTCCCAGCTGATGGGGGGCCCCCACCGTTCACAGTGTGCCGCCATGTCCGGGTGGCCCTTTAAGGGACCCCCGGCACCCTCACGCGTGGGCTTCAGGCAGCCCTCTCCCCTATCTAGCAGGACGGGACCCTGTCTGAGAAGGAGGGGGAGTGGCTGGCGTGGAGTCGGGGGCCTGTGGCCTCACACCTGGGGATGTGGGCGAGGCCACCCCTCCACCCTGACTCAGGGCTCCTTCGGGTGCTGGGGCGCAGCAGGCGCCTGTGCCTCAGTGATGACTCCCAGGCGGGAGCTGCCCGTGGAGCCCCTCGGCCCTCCTCCCGTGCCCCGCCCCGCTCCCTGGCCCCGTTCCTCCCTTCCCCACTGCACCCCGAGGGCCCATCAAATGGGGATCAGTCTTCACGCTCCAGAGGCAATTCCCAAGGCGGGCTTCCAGGGCCACCCGCCCACCACCTTATCCTGGGGCCTCGGACGGGAGCTCCTGAGCCCCCAGCCTCCCCCGTGCCCGGCGCGCCTCCCCTGCGGCCCTGGGCACTCCGGGACCCGGGGCCGCTGGCCGCTGCTTTCCTCTTAGACCTTCCGTGCTCCCAGCCGACGCCTCACACCCCTTCGTGGGTAGCTGCTGCCTTTCAAACACTGTCACTGATCTCTGGCTATTCCCACCTCCTCCCGTCATAAGAACCAGGTTCGCTTTGTCCTCAGTGTTCTGAAGTTCATGGTGGTGCAGGGCACGTCTAGGCGCGGGCCTGGCACCCCGTCCCGTTTGGGATCTAGTGGGCCTTTGGATCTGCGGTGCCTCCCTCGGCCCTGAACGGTGTGCGGCTGCTTGCAGCCATGGCAGCCTCCTCCACCCGCGCCTCTCCCCACCCAGGACCGCGGCTGGCCGGCCTTCCTGACCCCGCACTTCTGTTGACACGTCCCATGTCTTTGTGGTGTGGTCTTTGAACACTCTGCACTGCATTCTGGGAGAATTACTTTGTAACAACTCTCAGCTCATTAATGTGGTCTTTCATACTCTCAGTCTTTATTAATGTTTTTGTTTTCCATTTTGAAAACCCTGTTTTTCTTTCCTGCACTGATTTAGACCCCACCTGTCTCTAAGCTGTGCCCTCCCCTCGCGGCTTTAGAGGAGCAGCAGCTCGCCTCCTTAAGTGAACTGCTTGTACCTTCCGGAAAGCCTTCATTGTGGATGGTGTCTCCCCTGCTCTGTGGGTTCACGTGTCACCTCTCTCCCATCTCAGGGCTGGGCTCCTTTGGCCATGTGCAGTGATCGCCAAGGGGTGTCTGGGTGGCTGGGGGCAGGGAGTTACCTCTACGGTGTGGTGGCTGGTTTCCATGGAGGTGGGGAGGGCCGCGCATGTCACCATGTGGGGACCCTGGGGGCTGAACCACTGGGGCTGGCTGCCTCTGCTCACTGGCCCTGTGGCCCATCTACAGGCCTGGCCTCCGCCAGCAGGCAATGGGACGCTGGTGGGGGTGGAGGGTGGGGCGTGCGGGCCACACTCTGGGACTCCTAGAGCAGCACAGCCTCTCTCTAGGGCCAGGCGCCTGAGTCTTCTTTGCCTGCAGCTGTCACTGCCCTCTTTGCATCCTTTTTCTGCAAGAAATGGAGAATCTGGATGGAATATTATTCAGGGAATCAATTTTCCAGGCTAATTTCCACAAATACCCCAAAAGTAGCCAGTCTCCCAAAGCGAAGCATAGCTAGATGTAAATCATCGTGTTCTCTGACATAATCTGTATAGAATGGCAGGCAGTGTTTTTCATAGGCAGGACAGTGGCTAAATGGCTCATTATATTTTGTGACAAAACACTGTAATTTTTCTTCTATCTTCTTAAAATCATTACAGAGAAAAAAGCCAAGCACTTTGAAATGATTTCTTCCCTCCCACTCCAGTCCTGTGTCCTTTGCTCCCCCTGTCCCCCACTAACCCCCCCCACCCCCCCACCCCCCGCCAGCTCCAGAGAAAGCAGTTTCTTATGTGCAGTGTGGAAACCACTGGGTGGAAACGGAGAGCTGAACATTTTTTAGGAATGGCCTCACCTTGGCTGCCGGCTCCACTGAGCATATTGTGAACTTCTCACTCTGTTATGTATGCACCGTGCCTGCCAAGAACAGTCTTAGGCAGAGGTGCTGAGTCTGAAACCGTGTTGCGTTCAGAAGTACGTGGTAGCACGTCACCACTCAGCACGCCACCCGAGCTGGCCGGGCTGAGTGCCGGGCCTGGTCTGCGGAAGCCGTTGCTGAGGGCCTGGGCATTCAGCTTTCTCTTTAGCTACCCCGTGAATGCCGTAGTCTCGAGTTTTTCCAGTACTACCGGAATATGGAAAATGAGGAGAGAAGCACCAGGAAACAAAACCCTATAGTATTTGTAGGAAGGCAAAACTCTTTCTTTTCGAATCATAGGCTAAAGGGGTAATTATTTGTGGTTACTTGTTTCCATAGAACAAGTGTTTCTTTTGGCTTTTCACTCTTGTTCTGGGCCGTTTCATACGGTGCTTGTGTGCGTGTGCACGCCCAGCCTTCCTGCTTTCTCTTGCAAAGAGGAGGAGCACGGGATGGCATAGCGCAGAGGGCCCCACTTGGCAGCCCGCAGCATGGGCACGCCTGCCGCTGCAGACCCACTGTCCGCTGCTGCTCTGCCCTCCCATCTAAACGGTGCACAAATGAAATAAAGAACTGGATTTTAAGCCGGGGTCTCTGGGGTGGCATGGGCCTAATTTGGACCCCCTCAAACAAAATATTTCAAACTATGATAAGCGAACCTGTTTTAAAGGAGGTCACTGCTTTTATATAATTACTTGTCTCTGTACACGCCTGTGTCCTTCTAAAGCTTTGAAGCTCCCAGAGGCGGGGCCTATGCCTTATGCACGTTACTTGTTTTGTGCTCACAATGCCCAGGCACACAGCACCTGGGCACAGTAGGCCCCTAATTAATAGGGAGGCCCTAGAGTGAAATGCTGGGACTGGACCCTGGTGGGCTCTCAGGCCAAACTGCTTTAAATAAAGTAATCCATGGGAAGAGCTTAGCACAGTGTCTGCCAGAGGAGCAGCTGGTAAATGTTAGTTGTAATTATTGGCCACAGTATATGCTCCCTGAATGAGTCCAGTAAGCAGATTTAGGGTGAAGGTGTTAGGGTGTCTCCTCACCCCCACACCCACCCACTTGTCCTTCTGCTGTTTGGGCTGGTGTTCCCCTCCTGGAAGCCAGGGCTGGGCAGCTGTGGGGCTTCCTCCTGACCCTCTCTGCGGCTGGGGGTGACTTACCAGCCCTCACTCATCTAGGGCTCTGAGATGGTGCAAGTTACATAACGGTTCAGGCAGCTAATCACTCTTTAGGAACAGATGTGCTTGAAGATGCACTGCCATTCGCCGGATGCAGAACCTGAAGGCACCATTTACTCGTTGATTCTGTGACATGATTGAATCGTGCACCATAGCATTCATGTCTTCTCATGTGCTCAGTGGACATAGGAATATGTAAAGAGAAAACCTTATACTTCACTGCTTCCTTGTATGAAGAGCCATGTCCTTGAAGTCAAAGGAGGACCATTGGAAGAGGCAGAGTGGTGTACTACACCACAGGACCAAATGGGAAGATATAAAATATTCCTCACATTTGATTGAAGGGTAAGGTTCTTTGCTCATAGGAACAGCAAGGACCCTGTAGGTGAATATCACAGGATATTGGAAGTTGGCCATGCTGAAATTCCCTAAGAATTGCTTCTCTTGTACAACTTCCATCATTCTTGCTGGGTTTGAAGAGATGCCTTGTGCTTACATGAGTTAGGGAGAGGTTGCTGAAAATAAGATTCCACTATGATGAAATAATTCAATATTTTTAAAAACATCATTTTACTTTTACATACACAATAGTAT